CCAGTGATGCCCTCATCCCATGAATGAATAAAGAAAAAGGAAATATTTAGAGGGATACGGGCCAATTGCAGGAAAATTGGACTAGTTCAGTTTAGGAAACATGCACGAGTTGGACTGAAGGGTCTGTTTCCATGCTGCATGACTCTATGAATTAGTTCTGCTCCTATATCTTATGGTCTTTTAAAGGTAAGAGGGATTTGCTAAAACTATACAAGACACTCATGAGACCATAGCTGGAGTATTGTGAACAGCTTTGTGCCACTTATTTGGCATAGAAGGAAATCCAAAGGAGGTTCACTAGGCTGATACCAGGTATGGAGGGATTGGGGTTAAATAGGTTGAGCCTGTAATTGTTTCAGTTTAGAAGAATAAGAGGTGATCTTATTGAAAAGACAAGATTCTTAGGGGGCTTGACAGGCAGATGCCGAAAGGTGCAGGAAATTCTAGGACCAGAGAGCATCATCTCAGAATAAGGGGTTGCACATTTAAAACAGGTGAAGCGGAATTTCATCTCTCAGAGAATTTTTTTGTACAGGCTACATCATTAAGTATATTCAAGGTTGAGGTAGGCAGATTTTTTTTATCAGTAAGGGAATCAAAGTTTTGCGGAAAATGCAGGAAAGTGGAATTGAGGATTATCAGATCAGCATGATTCCAATGAATGGCAGAGCAAACTCAATGGGTTGAATAGCCGACATATGCTCCTATTAAGATATTATGGTCTTATTGCCACTATGACATAGAAGTAGATTTTATTGTCATCACGTGTACTCAAGTACAGAAGTACAGTGAAAAGTGTGTTATTTTGCCACACATGGCTCCATCTTAGATACCAAAGTATCTAGGTGCAAAAAAACATTTAGGTACAAAGTAGTAAGAGAAACAAGAGTTAAAATGTTAAACGTTATTTCATAGAATAGTAGAAAGATAAAGAAATAGGCTATAGTTTATATAACAGTCTTTCATAGTTTAAATCAGGAAAATAAAGGAATAAGTTAAAAGTTCAACAGATTTTGAGTCTTCCGCTTGTCTCGCTTTGCTGTCTCTTCTCGAAGCCACCGCTGCTGCTGAAAATGCCACCTCTCTGATCTCTCCCAGTGCCTTAGAAACGTGGCCGGGCAGGATCGATTCGCATGCTGAGCTGGGACACCACCATGAGCTGCCAAGAGACCAACTGACATGTTGCCAAGAGACCAGGCTGAGAGCTGCCAAAAGACCAGACCTGGGAACTGCCACTACCTTTATTGAAGCTTAGACTTGACTTTTGCTCACATAGAGCAACATGTTGGAAGCGGCTGTGAGCCTGAACCCAACATAGTTAGAGCGAGCTTGAAGTGTCGGTAAGGGAGGTTCCCCAGCATCTGCGGTGGTCAAGAGAAGGAGGCCTGAGGTTTCCCAGAGAGCGAGCCAAAATGAAAGAGACTGAGTCTTTTTAGGGAGTACACTTAGACTGTTGAACTTGCACCTTTATTCCTTTATTTTTCCTTAATACTAGTAAGGTCTGTAATATTAACATTTAGCTTTATTTCTATATTTTGTTAAGTGTTTCTCTATATTACTATTTGTATCTAAATTTTGTATCGAGGTACCTTTATACCTAAGAGGGCACCATGTGCAGCAACATAGTACACTTTTCAATGTACTCCTGTACTTAAGTACAGGTGACAATAAAGCTTAAATCATATTGATTTTAAAAATTCATCCTTGTCTTCAAATCCTGAATGGCTTCATCCATGTCTCTGTAATCACCTCCAGCCTCACAACCCTCCAAAAAAACTCGACACTTATCAAATTCTGTATTCTCGTGCATCCCTGATTTAATGGCTCCGCCATTGACGAGCATGCCTTTAGCTGCCCATGTTGCTGAGTTCTTGAATTTGTTCTCTAAACCTCCCCACTTCTCTCCTTCCCTTTCTTCTTTAAGACACCCTTAAAACTGACCCCTTTGACGAAGATTTCGTAGAATCATAGAATTCCTACAGTGTGGAAGCAGGCCATTTGGCTCATGAGTCCACACCAACCTTCCAAAGAGCATCCCATCCAGACCCACTCAAACTTATCCCTGTAATCCTGCCTTTCCCACAGCTAATCCATCTATTCTGCACATCCCTGGACACAATGGGCAATTTAATATGGTCAATCCACCTAACCTGCACATCTTTGGACAGGAGGAGGAAACCCATGCAGAACATGGGGAGAATTGGCAAACTCCACACAGACAGTCACCTGAGGCTGAATTGTTCCTGGGTCCCTGGCGCTGTGAGGCAGCACTGCTAACCACTCAGCCATAGTACCATCGAAGATTTGGTTAAAATTTAAATCTCAGTAATAGTGTCATAAGAACTATTGTTGATTATGGTAAAAATTCATCTGGTTCATTTATTACAGAGGGAAATCTGCCCTCCTTACCTGCTCTGGGCTACATGTCACTCCTGCCCCAAAGCAATGTGGTTGACTCTTACTTGCTCTCTTAAATGGTTCAGCAATGTACTCACTTCAAAAGGGGTGGGGGGCAGTTAGGGGCAGGGACAAATATTGGCCATGTGATGTCCACATTTATGAACCTAGCCTCCTAGCTGACACTTGTGACAGTGATAGTCATTGCAGAAATATATTCTGCATCATTCTCCTTCTCCAATTCTTTCAAGAGGTGGTATAGAGAGGTAGGAAAAGGTGCAACAAAGTGCCTGTTATTCATCGTGCATTTGGTTCAGGGCCTGAAGGTACAGGTTGGATGTGCAGCTAGGAGTGTGCAATAGTAAAACTAGAAGGCCGAGAATGGAGTGTGTGTGGCTGCTGTAGGAAGACGTGAAATAAGACTGTATGGAATTTGGCCAGCAGTTGAGGAGATGCAGACAGATTATTCTCTTCAAAAATCTCTGAAAGTTTTGCTAAAATGTAACTTCTACTTCAGTTTGACAAAATAAAGTTTTACTTATGGACAGCAAAATTTCTTGGGCATGATCATCTTTGGATAATAATACACAATTATAATATTGTAATACAATAGTTAGCATTCCACACCCATAAGGAAGTGCCTAGGTGTCGATTGTCTAGCTGACACCAACTTCTCAGATATGCTTGGAAAATTGATGAATTCAGTTACATGATTACAGCAGCCACCTTTGGTGTTTTGAAAAGTTATTACATGAATTGGTTTTACTTCACTTCTGTCACCAGTCAAGCCCATTTATAATCTATTAGGCTTCAATGAGACCATCACTCATTCTTCTAAATTCCAGACAATATAAGCACAATGCACTCGGTCTCCAATCACAGGACATCCTCTCCCATTTTAGTACCCAGTTTAATAACTTTTTCTTGAACTACCTCTATTTAAGTATATTTTTCCTTAAATATGGAGACAAAAGCTGAATGCATTAGTCCAGGTGTATTCTGAACAGAGTCCTGTAAACTATAGCAAGACTTCTTTATTCCTGTATGCCAAACTGCTCGAAATAAAGGCCAACATGCCATTTGTCTCATTACTTGCTGCACCTGCATGTTATTTTGAGTTCCTGAGATAAAAACATTTAGGTCTTTGATTATAAACATTTACAAGTTTCAAAACTTTTAGAAAATGCTTTGCTTTTTTATACTGTATTAATAGACCAAAGTGAATAACCAACACTAATCCACATTGTATTTCATCTGGAACCTTGTTGCCCACTTACAATCTGTCTAACTGGTGCCCTCCACACAACTTACTGTAAATCAATAAATTTAAGATATACTACATTGTACACTAATGATTTGGATAAAGAGTAAATAGCTGAAACCCGTACAATGATCCTTGTAGCACTCCACAAGTCACAGTTACTCTCCCGATTTATGTCAGAATTCCAAGCTGACACTCCATTGGAGTATTTTTAAAAATTAATTCATGGCTTGTAGGTGTTGCTGGCTGGGCTAGCAGTTATTGCCCATAACTAAGTGCCTGGAGAAGGTGCTAGTAACTTGCCTTCTTCAGTCATTGCAGCCTGCTACTTAGGTTGTGCTGCACTTTGGGAGGTGTTGTCTATCGGATGAGGGCTTAAACTAAGGTGTTGTGTATCCTCTTAGATGGACATAAAAGATCTATGGCACAATGTAGAAAAACAGGGGAGTTTATCATCGGTATCTTGGTTCACACTTAGCAAATTAATAAAATTTGATAATGTCCAGATAATCTATTCTAGTAATGTTGATTGAAGGCTATCTCTAGATGCACTATCCCTTTTAACACAAATTCCCATTTCTTTCTTAATGCTGACAGTAAACAGGTTACAGTTTCCAGGTTTAATGGCTAGCACTCTTTGGATAGGAAAATCTTCATTGTGCCAAATAGTCTGACACCACTCCTGTGCCTTGAAACTTTTGTATCTAGATAAACTTTTGCCTGTCATCTCCTCCCTAATATTCCCATGTACATAGAAGCATATAAGACCCAAGTTTTTTTTTAGGTTGTCTAGTTTGTCAGTTATTTTCACCCTTTAAATTTTTTTTTATTCTCATCCATAGTGCCTACTCTGTAAGCTTTTGTTAAAAAAAACTGTCCCAATAAAGTTGTTCAATATTTCTACTATGTGCACAAGTTCTTCCTTGGTTATTCTTTAGTAGCCCTATATCTAACTCCTTTCACATTCTGTATTCTTTGTATGTTAGGAGGGAGCACACATTAAAGATGATACAGGCTGTTAGCTAATTTCATTACTGTTTGTTACATTTTTATAATTTGCTAAGAGCTTTTATCCTTTTCTGACCTGAAGGCTAATTGATGATAGGACTGTGTAGTATTTCCAGTAATTTGTGTCACCTATGGGTATTGCTACTTTACTACATGTTCTTTGTATTAGTTACATTCTAACGTCTAGCAAGTGTGTGCTTACGAGAGTGTTTGTTTAAGTTGAACATAACAAATATCTGGGTAAAGCTACAAGATACTACAAGAATATTTTGTCTTCTAATAACTGAATGATTCAATATTGTACTTAAAATAACTTAGTTGTCCAAGAGAAAAATACAAAAAATTGTTTAATAACAATAAAGGTACAATATGGACATGGTACCTTTAAGCTTTATTGCATTATTTTGATTTCTAATTTAGAAGCTGGTCAATAATTATAGCCCATGCTGCACCTTTTCACTATTGTGAGTAGTCTTCTTTCTTTTCCACAGGTTTCCAAATACAATTCCAGAAAGCAGTATAAATCCTAATGTGCGATTCAAACAGAATTTCTTCCAACAATCTTGAGGATTATTTATGTCCAATGAGTATATCTGTTTTAGAAACAGCAGGATTTATATTTATACAAATCAGAATTGTGAACAGCACATTTTACAGTTTTTAAAAATTCATCACAATAAAATTTTCTAAGGAGTTAGTTGAAAGAGAATGTTATAAGAAAACTGCTACTCATGAAAGTGAGAATTTATTGATATCTAAATAGGTTTTATTTTTCTGTTGAGGAATTCCTACTTCCACAGTTGTTTTCCAGCAAAAAAGTACTTCATCTATTGGCTTGCCTCTCCCCTATATCTGCAATTTCCAAACCAACAACAATCTGACATATACCTGCCATCTAATTGTCACCTCTTACGCTCCCCAATCATAGCTGCTCCACTACAAGTAGCCATGCCTTTCTTCCCAGGGATCAAAATTTGTGGAAATTCTTCCCTACATTTGTCAAACTCTACCTTTCTTGCCTCCTTTAAGACACTTCTTAAAATCTCTTTGATCAAGCTTTTGGTCATTTCCTTTAGTGACTCAGCATCATACTTTGCTTTATAGCACTCCTGTGACACACCTTGGAATGTTTCATTGCTTTAAATTTATAGCTTGCAATAAGTATTGTAAAGTTATAGTCATAGAGATATACAGCACCAAAACAGACCCTTTGGTCCAACTTGTCCATGCTGACCAGATATCCTACCCCTCAGCCACTGACGCCCCAGGGAAAATAGCCCCAGTCTACTCAGTGTTTTTTCCTACAGCTCAAACCCTCCAACCCTGGCAACATCCTCATAAATCTTTTCTGAACCTTTTCTAGTCTCACAATATCCTTCCTGTAGGAGGGAGACCAGAATTGATTGCGATACTCCAAAAGTCTATTCTTAAACTATTACCAATACATGGTACTTGAATATTCAAAGTCACAGTCCACTCAAGGCACTGGCATGTTGCATAATGTCTATTTTGTTTCTTTCCTTGTGATTCCACATTTTAGCCTAGAAATTCATTCACATTCATACAAACAATAATCCATGCACCCTGATTAAGTTGGTCCATGTTATACTAAATATGGAGCCTTGGGCCTCATTTACATGAAATACAAACATGAACATCCCAGGCAGCTTGACGCTGGAGATGTTGTGAACTTTGGGACAAAGATATGGAGACTGAAAATTTACTTTCCCGTGACTTAGTCTTATTTTCACCAACAGAAAGAACAGTAATGCTTGAACTTTTTTTTCCCTCTGAATTTGGATGTGCAAGCACCCTTCCCAGCGGTCTCCTTTGAAGGATCTCCAATTTCATCATTACCAGCTGCTTAAATGGTAAACCTCTGAACTATATGGCTTTTCTACTCCCTTTCAAATCAATACTTTCTGCTATTTAGAGATTGTAAACTCAGTTTGAAAAATAGAATCATAAAACAAGATGTGACTTCGAATTGGTTTATATAGGCAATACACGTATCAATAGAAATGTATCATATCAGTCTCATTACTTTTCATAAAGAATTCCAATTAACCACATTCCAATTTTTACTTAGCACCAGGGATTAAAGCAATTAATCTGATCCATGAATTCTGCAGTCTTGTGATATAAAGTGAGATATCAAAAGTTATTTTTGAAAATTATATTCCCATTTCTGGCTCAGAATTTAATTAATTCATTCACGATCAACTTAATTCGCATGTTATAATCCCCTCACACCGATGATGATCTTTCTACCACCACCCCAACAAGGATACACACTGTACAAGGTATCGGAATAGATATACTGATTTCAAGCTCAAACCATTAAGGAGAACTGGAGGTTTGTAAGCACATTTACATTCAAAAGTTGCATCAAGTTTTCAGGCAGGTTCATAATACTGAAATGGTCAAATAAAGCCTGCTTTGAAAACTTAGCTGTGGAATAACTGTAAGGCCTCATTTAAATCTTTCCCAAGTAATTTTAAAAAATCTTACTTTTAATTAAATTGAAAACCAGTTAACAGCAGTAATTATAATGGGTTGGTATCAGCTGGAGGAGGGAATCTTGTAGGATGCCCAGTTGGTTAGAATTTTGTCTCCACTAGTCAGCTCAAAACCTTTGCCCTGCAAGTTGTTGGACGTGCAAGCTGGTAATAGTGTGTCAAGGACAACGGGATAAATATTGTACCTTCTATAACTAACGAGGTTGATCGATTGAAAATCAAGGATGACGACTGGGAAGGAGTATCAAATAGTGTGAACTGAACATCTAGTCAGGTGGTAGATCATAACCGTCTACAGCACAAAAAAAACCTATAGCCCAATGAATCTGCGCTAGTCAAAAACAACCATTTAATTATTCTAAGAGATAATGGGAACTGCCAATGCTTTTCAGAGATAGTGGGAAAGAAGGGTCAAGACCCGAAACGTCAGCTTTCCTGCTCCTCTGATGCTGCTTGGCCTGCTGTGTTCATCCAGCTCTACACCTTGTTATCACATTTAATTATTCTAACCCTATTTCCCAGTATTTGGCCCATTACCTAGGCATATAAGGCATCAGAAGTATACATCTAAATATTTAAATATTGAGAGTTTCTGTCTCTACCACTGTTACAACCAGTGAGTTCCAGATTTTCACCTGTGGGTGCAAAAATGTTTCCTCACATCCCCTCTAAACCTCCTGTCGCTTATCTTACATCTATGCTCTCTGGTCACTGATCCCTCCACCAAGGGCAAAAGCTTCTTCCTATTCACCTTGTGTCCCCCAATTTAAACATCTCAATCTTGTCCCCCCTCAGTCTCCTCTGCTCCAAGGAAAACAGCCCCAGTCTATTCAATCTCTCTTCATAAGTAAAGCTCTCTGACCCAGGCAACATCATATAGACGATCTTATAGAGAAAAAGAAATTTTAAATTGGACATGAAAATTTTCAACAATTCATTATCTGAAGAAATGACACTCCATACTTCCAACTGCTGAATTGCTGTTTATGTTTTTTCTATTAATTCAGGGGAATATAGGCTTCAATGGCAAGGCCAGAATTTATTAGGCATCCCTAACTAGCCTTGAGGCGCTGAGCTAATGTCTTGAACCACAGCAGTCCTGAAGCACCCACAATCCTGTTAAGGAGGGAGCTCCAGGATTTTTTTTACTGAGTGACCATGATAGAATGGGCTTCCAGTTGCAAGTCAGGTCAGAAAGTGGCATGGAATAGAACTTGCAGGTGAGGGTGTCCCCATGTTTTTCTGCTGCCCTTCTGCATTGTAGTGCATATTGGTTTGGAAGGTGATATAAGGTGCCTTAATGAATTCCTGCATTGCATCTTATAAATGGTACACATAGCTGCTGCTGTGAGTTGGTGGTGGAGGGAGTAAATGTTTGCGGATATGGTACCAATCATGTGGAATGCTTTGTCTTGGATGGCATCAAACTACTGTAGAGCTTGTAATGCTGGGCTGTACTCAGTCAGATTGGTGATGGTCATCACCTGGTACTTGTGTGGCAAGAATGTTATTTGCCACTTGTCAAATTGAAGCTTGGATATTGTCAAGGTCTTGCTGATTTTGGCCATGGACTGCTTCAGTATCGAAGGAGTCATGAATGGTGCTGAATGTAGGAAAGTTTGATAATGATTGCACAAAGGGAAGATCATTGATAAAGCAGCTGAAGATGGCTCCCTGGGACACCACCCTGAGGAACTCCTGCATCTGAGATGACAAGGTGCAGGGCTGGATGA